GCTGGCGAGAATACCTGTCAATCATTGCAAATGCTTTGCTATACACTTGTCATTTCTCATTTACCAATAAACTTTTAGCCAACGTTTATATCGTGCCTTTTATATTTTAGGACTTGCTACCTTTTAAATACTTTTGGTATTCATGTTTCATATGGTTCCATCACCAGGTGTTTTTATATAATAAAGTCTCAAAAACATCGAGCGCATCCGCTCCTACTTAACGCCAGATGCGACTAAGGTGTTGGTCCATTCCACTGTCCTTTCTCGCCTTGACTACTGTAATCCGCTTCTCAGTGGTCTTACGTGCTCCCAACTTGCTCCGTTACAGTCCATAATGAATGCGGCGGCGAGGCTCATCTTCCTGTCCACCTGCACCTCCCATGCCTCACCCTTGTGTCAGTCCCTAAATTGGCTTCCTATAAAATATAGAGCTCAATTTAAAATTCTGGTTCTTGCTTTAAAATCTCTACATAATGCTGCTCCCACCTATCTATCCTCCCTTATACACAAGTATGTCCCGTCTAGGCCCTTACGATCTGCTGAAGACTTACGTCTTTCTTCTGTCCGTACTCCCCCTCTGATGCTCGCCTTCAAGATTTCTCGAGGGCTGCACCGTTCCTCCTCTGTTAGATGCTCACCCAGTCTCCATTCCTTCAAAAAATCGTTAAAAACCCACTTCTTCATAAAAGCGTATCAATTAAATTGTTAATAGCTCCTGACTGATTCCTCTTCTGCAACTGTCACTAGTCTAATACTATCCTTACCTTTTTGTGTCATTTTACCCCACTCCCTCTAGCATGTAAGCTCATTGAGCAGGGCCCTCAACCCCTCTGTTCCTGTTTGTCCATCTTGTCTGGTTACAACTACATGTCTGTTCGTCCACCCATTGTAAAGCGCTGCGGAATTTGACAGCGCTCTATAATTATAATAATACTCAAAACTGACGGATCAGAACACTATATAACATCACAATAGTGCTCACCCTAAAGCTCTAATAGAATCAATGCCTTGTGCCCAATTCCTTAGTCATATGTAATAACTGATGACAAGACCATGCAAACAATAATAATACTAATAATAATAAAAGAGGTCTTATGTTTTCTTAAACCTTTTTTCAGCCCCCAAAAAGGCCAAATAAAAAGCCATAATTCCCATTAAATTTTGAAGAAGAAAAAAAAAAAAAGCAGAAAAACCCAACGCCCAAAATCGATCTTCACCCAGTGAGGGCATCGCACAGACTGAGCTCCCCGGGGGAGTTAGAGAACTCTGATTGGTTGGTTTAAGCCAACCAATAAGAGTGCTCTGATAGATTAATCTTGAGCCTTGTCTGATTGCTTATGCACGAAAAAAGAGGACATCTAATGGGAAGTATGAATTTTTATTTATTTACAGGTATCTAGTGGTTTTTGTCCCCCCCCCCTCACTATTTTTAGGGTGAGGGGGGTAGGTAGGATTTATTTTATGAGGGGGGTGAGGGATGATGACGAGGGGCTTGGGGACCCCTAGTTATCTGTGGTGGGGTATTTTTTACATATAGCCCCAATAGGTCTCCATGCCTTTTGTCACTGAGAGCCCCCACCCGCCGCTCATGGTTGGGGGTTGGGGGTAGACAATAGGTCCCCCCATTTTTGCTACTTTTGGTCCCCACCTGCCACTCTTGAGTGGGGGGTACTTGGTGCCCCCCCCCCTCATTTTTTACTTTTGGCCCCCACCCGCAGCTAATGGGTGAGGGGGGAAATAATAGATCCCCTTTGTTACTTTTGGCCCCCACCCGCCGTTAATGGGTGGGGGGGGAAGTACAGTAGGTTCCCCCTTTTGTTATGTTTGGCCCCCATCTGCCACCCTGGGTCCCCCTTTCAGTTAAATAGACTTGTGGTGCACGCTTATCTATTTTAATAGATTCCCCACCACGGGGGACCTGTGCTAGGTGGGGTTTTTTTTTGTTTATATCAGTGAGCAGTCACTGGCTGCATGGGTCCGTATAATCATTATGGCAACTATTTTTTTTATTACAAAATTACCCATGCACGTTTACAAGATCGGCACTACAAAAATATTTTTTATGGCCTTTAGGATAATATACTTACCTTGTTTAGTATTGGTGAACATTTGGAAGTTTGTTATTTAGTGATCCTCAATTTAAAAATAAATGTTCCCCATCACTGGTTTGAAGTTCTAGTTTACTGTTAAGGTTCATATTTACACTAATGGATATAGACGATGCTCACACACCAAATAATTCCCTCTTACACAAATTGTAGAGAGCAAAAAAACAGGGCGCAAGAGAATACTGAGAACAGGCAGCAGCTGAAATAGCCTGGCCTTCGGTGGGTGCCCACTCAAATCTCAAGCTGGTTTTAGCTCATCTTGTGCCATTACAGAGAGAACATCTCTGAAACATATCAGACTGGTCCCACCCATACGGGCAGTCCAGATCCAAAATGGCAGCAGAGATACAGCAACCCCAGACGATCGTTTCAGCCTTGTTAGGCATCATCAGTGAAGCATAGCTGATATCTCTCTAGGCACCGTGAGCAAGGGGTCCATGTCTGGATTACCCTTTAAACTTGTGGAGAACAAAAAAACAGGGTGCAGAGAATACTTAGAACTAATTCCCTCTTACACAAATTGTAACACACCAACTGAAAACCAACGCCATCTTTTGTACTCTAAAGCCGTGAACATCATAATAGTCTTCGATCTTAACTAATGTAAACCGATGTTATTTAACAATATGCCCTGACACAGACATGCATGACAATTTGCACCATCCAGTGATGCAAGAACCATATTTAGAAGAATCCTCCCCCCTCTACAACATTGCATTTTTGTACTTGTTTTAATATTATAGTTTTATTTCTTGATTATATCTTGTAGCTTGTTATATTTTTGTGTCATTGCATACTTGGATCTTATGTCACATACAATATACAATGTCAAAATTCAATATATTCTAAAAAAAAAATCGATAAATACATAAAAAAATAAAATAAACACAAACAAAAAAAAAAACGCATTTCCCCCAGAGCAGGGTAGGTTTTACCTTTTTGCCTGCACCGATTTATTGACTGGGTGAGTCTTTGCCCACATCTATCAGGATTGGTCTGCTCTCACACCTGGTCATGTGACTGCTGCATTCCAATGTATTTTATATTGTTTCTTTGATTACTTAGTGGTACATTCCCTGTACGTTATTGGTCAGTAATGGGATCTGACCATCATTGTATATGACTGGTAGAACGTGATGTACAATGCAATTAATTTGCGGGTTATTTCATCACTCTGTTTTAGTACTGCAGTTTACCCCCGATGAACAATGAGGTGATGCGTGCATTGGTGTGAAAGGCTAGCTCAATGTGATTCCTTAATGCTGCAGATTACACCATTTCTACCTCTTTGCTAGCACTCAAATACCTTTTCTCCTCTCAAAGTTTTCTTCTTCGTTCATAGTCTTATTTTTTCCTTATACAGATTGACCAAATTACCTATTTTTGTACACAGCCTTTCTAACTACACAAATAATGTAGCCCATGGAGCAGCACAGCTTAGTGGAATAGGGCCTCGACAGAGCTAGGAGGCGAGCATTCAGAATTATGGTGTTTGGATTGGCTAGTGATCTGGGAGGTGCAGGCTGATACATAAAGGGCAGCCATCTTATAACATTTCCCATTCTAATGCTTTCTCACAGACCTTGTTGTTGTCCCTCCCATCCTTCCTGATTTTGTGTTCACAGCGGCGGGGGGCTGGATAGGTAAATTGTGGGGTGGAATGGGTTGTTATTAGGGATTTAATTAATTATGTGTTTTTAAAAGTTGGTATGTGGTTTAAAAGTTAGTATGGTAGGTTTCGAGCTGGCCTGTGGCTCAGAACCTGGGGGTGTAGAGGTGTCTGGGTAGATCGCTACATTTGCTCATCCCAGCAATTTGGTATGGTAGGTTTCGAGCTGGCCTGTGGCTCAGAACATGGGGGTGTTGTGATATCTCGGTATACCCCTACATTGGATCATTTGGACAAGTTGGTAGGGTAGGTTTTGAGCTGGCCTGTGGCTCAGAACCTAGGAGTGTAGTGGTATCTCGGTATACTCCTACATTGGATCATTCTGGCAAGTTGTTTTTACTTTATTATGTTTCATGATGTTATTTATTTGTTATATTGTTATGGTGTTCTGTTGTTAATATTGGGGTCATTGTCGTAATGTTGTGGGGAGTTAGTTATATACTGTGTTATAGTGTTTGTTTGACAATGACCTTTAAATAAAAATTTATATTATATTCTATTAAAAGCTGTGGACAGAATTTTACCCAACATATTGGTGTCTGTGCATTATTGGGTATCTATGGGAGTTTGTTAATTCTTAATGCCCAAGGGTACGACTATGCGTCTGTCATGTATAGAGCAAATTTTAGAAAAGCTTAACCAGATGTGGCCAATTTAGTAACAATCCAATAAATGTAATACCATAACTCATGAAGCATGAAAAAGGCTGAACTAAAATAAAATGATTATCAAACACCAGAAGAAAAACTGAGACATAAAAGCAGAAGGTGATAATGCAAGGAAGCAAACATACAAGGAGAAGCAGAAATATACAGGATAGAAAATGCAGAGATTGACCAAATATTTCCAACTTGAAAAAAGGCAAATGTTCATTCAAAAATTTATCTAAAAATTCTTTAGAAGGAAAAATAAAACTCCACATACTTAAAAAAAACAAAAACAAATACAAATATCACAAACACCCTTGCCCAAAGGCAAAATGAATTTGTTAAATATTGCAAAACAAAATTTTCATTACAACATAAAAAAAAAACTAATAAAAACAAAATAAAAAACATTAATTTTTTTTACTTGAAACTTTTGCAATCAAAATACTTCCACACATAATTGAAAAAATTCTGAATGGAATCAGTGGGCAGAACAGTTATGGTGAACCTTAGCATTTCCCGTGATGCACAGGCAGCTTAGACTGAGGCTGGGCATCAGGGGAAATTCATCATGCATGCTCACTGGGAAGGATGAGAGTGGTTTGATCTGGTGTATGTAACAAAGATTATTTTGTCCTAAGGCAACAATAAAAACAGTGTCAAGGCAATATCAAGAACAATTTTTGTAAACCTGGTATTTTAACTATCAACTGCACATCAAATTCTAAAGAGCAGCTACTCCGCACACATGCTAATTGCAATATACTAAGTGTCATAGCAATTAGGTTACATGTTTATTTTAGATCAAATAATTTTAGTGATATGAGGGATGTAGTCATTCCAGACTATTAGTATGTACCACATTTCTGAAACCCATTATATTTTTACAACCAAAATTAGGCACGGTGCCAAAGACTGAATCATAGTTCTCCTAGTCATTTCCTTTTCTCTAGACAGGATGTCCTTAATGAAGAATTTTTTAAAATTTTTGCAATCACTCCTACTGTTTTATCTGTGTAATGAAATGCGTACATGTTTATTATCTTCTTCTTGGAATACTAATTCTGTGACCTAATGGTGGATTCCTAAAGATGCCATTTCCAAGTTCAAAAAAACAAAACAAAATAATAAATCAATAAAACCACCTTAACCAATAAAATCCTCCACTTCAAAACACTGAATTAACATGAATGCACAAACAAAATTCCCTTGTGTTGCATTACCATTTTTTTTTTAAGTTGGAGAGCAGATTTGATCCCACACTGAAAGCATTATGCCAACCACCAAAGAGTTTTTTTGTTTTTTTTCACTACAATAACATTTTAGATTGTGATGTGGTATGGGACAGCAGTCCTGTTAACATTTTGCTCATACAGCCAAAATTGAACTATACAGTACATGTAGTCCCCTTTATATGAATGGGGTAGTGAGCATGAACAAGACTAACAAACAATGCTAAATGGAATATCCCAGAAAATATGTTGTCACCAGGATCTTTTTCACATATGAAAAACCCCACAGGCATGTGATCAGTATAATTTTCTTCTAAAATGGCATAGACGGTAAAGTATAAGGGCTGGTTAACACAACACGTGTAAATGGTTTTATGCTCTTTTGATTAATGTAAAGTTTGTTGTTCGATATGTGGCCATTTTATATGTGGTAACCATCTATCCCTCATGGCAACTGTTAATATACAGCAGGGATGAGCCACTCAACAGGTAGCTCAGCATTTAAACTTCACATCCCAGGACTCACATGTAGGGGTGATTATTTAACCTCAACATATCAGGAAAGGGATTTAGGGGTGATTATTTCTGATGACTTAAAGGTAGGCAGACAATGTAATAGAGCAGCAGGAAATGCTAGCAGAATGCTTGGTTGTATAGGGAGAGGTATTAGCAGTAGAAAGAGGGAAGTGCTCATGCCATTGTACAGAACACTGGTGAGACCTCACTTGGAGTATTGTACACAGTACTGGAGACCGTATCTTCAGAAGGATATTGATACCTTAGAGAGGGTTCAGAGAAAGGCTACTAAACTGGTTCATGGATTGCGGGATAAAACTTACCAGGAAAGGTTAAAGGATCTTAACATGTATAGCTTGGAGGAAAGACGAGACAGGGGGGATATGATAGAAACATTTAAATACATAAAGGGAATCAACACAGTAAAGGAGGAGACTATATTTAAAAGAAGAAAGACTACCACAACAAGAGGACAGTCTTAAATTAGAGGGGCAAAGGTTTAAAAATAAGATCAGGAAGTATTACTTTACTGAGAGGGTAGAGGATGCATGGAATAGCCTTCCAGCTGAAGTGGTAGAGGTTAACACAGTAAAGGAGTTTAAGCATATGTGGGATAGGCATAAGGCTATCCTAACTATAAGATAAGGCCAGGGACTAATGAAAGTATTTAGAAAACTGGGCAGACTAGATGGGCCGAATCGCTCTTATCTGCCGTCACATTATATGTTTCTATGTCTATGTTTCTATAATTTGGCTGTGATAGAGAGTTAGAATTTTAGATATGGAGAGCTACATTTTGGTAATCCTTGGTTTAGAGATTTAGATTTAAAAAAATAGGTAAGAAATAAAATGGGCAATACAAAAATGTTTGAAATTCAGAAGCACCATGCTCTTACCATGTTAATTCTGAAACAAAAAAAATGTGATCAAAGAAACAAAAAATATATGGCTGCAGGAAGCAAGCAAACTCTTTCCTGATATTTACTCTGCTGCAACAATAACTTTTCTCACCATTAATACATAATCTGATAGTCACGAAGATTTAACATTAAGGGTCACCCATAGCAAGGCTATGGAACTCCTCTATTAAAGAAACCATATACTACATTTCTCCTGATGCTCTGCTAGTCATCTTACTGGCCTGGCACCATGAAAAATGTAATCATATGGAATAGCAAAGGCTGCCTACGACTATTTTAGAAGATGTGCAAATAGGAGGTACATTCTGCAGAAAAGTTCAGTAACACCAAAAAGTTGTTATTCGATAGGACGGACAATGGTACAATAGCCTATATTATGGATTCATCCTAAAGAAACCTGGTTAAATATTTAAGAAAAAAAAAAAAGTTTAAAAAAATTTAGCGTGTAATAACCAAACAAAACATCTATAAAAAGGAAAGGTCTCCACACCTTAGGATAAGGGGCTCCCTCAAAAACCACTAAAAATACTGAATGTTAAAAACCAAGAAGAATCAGGTTTTACCAAAAAGTTCAACACAATTTTTTTAATCTAAAATGAAAACATAAGAAAATTAACAAAAAAGATAAAATGAGTTGACAGTCCAAAATCTACATATAAAGGTAAAAAAAATTTGAATACCACTTGAAAGAAGGCAGAGCACAACAGAATTATCAAAGTAAACAATCTTTTCTTCTTAGAGGAAACACAGTAGAGGTTCTTGTTTATTGATGAAATCTGTATGGACATACAAAGTAGATCGCAAAACAGAGGATCCAATGGTGCAGTATTTCAAGACAAACAGAACTTGTGCAGCATATAGTAATGGCTTGCTCACATTTGTTAGAGCTATAACCAGGTGTAGCATAGACAGCGTTCAGTGGTATAGATCCCCACTTGTAGTATATATATGATGTAGACAGTAACCATAGAATAAAAAAAAATGAAAACAATAGTGCTCTCTGTATGTATAGAACCAAATAAAATGATAAATAGGAAGTTACTCACAATTTGTAAAGCAGACAAACCACTCTGTGAGCCAGTATTTAGGAACATCTGTTGTGCTCTGCCTTTTTTTTTTTAGGTGGTATTTAATATATATATATATATATATATATATATATATATATATATATATATATATATATATATATATATATATATATATATATATATATATATACACACAAGATCTAGCGCACTCGCCTATCCACTAAACAGCAGCTTCAATGTTGAAAGATTTTATTTGTTTTTTTAAAAACACCTAATCAAGGCAAAAATAATGGGGGTTTAGTTACATTACATGATCATACATTGCATAAGCCTGCCACAACGTCAATGTACCCCATCTTTGGCAGGTCCCACACTAACAGCCTAATGTCTGCTCTTATGAGATCTTATGAGATTAACCCACTTACTTGGGTGAAAAAATTCCATCTGGGGTTCTCTGCAGTACAAGGCTGAATAGCGATAAGATGGAGCACTCAAAAGGACTTAAACACGGTGTATTTATGTGTGTGTGTGTATATATATATATATATATATATATATATATATATATAAATAAAAGAAGGGGGTGTGGCTGCACTCACCTGAACATGCATAAAAGGGAAATAAAAAAACCAAAATCTTTCAACATTGAAGTTGCTGTTTAGTGGATAGGTGAGTGCGCTGGATCTTGTGTATTGTATAAATTGGCCCCCAGCAGCACCCCATTTATGCATGTTCAGGTGAGTGCAGCCACAACCCCTTGTTTCATATTATATATACACACACATTATATATATATATACACACACACACACACACACACACACTTTGGAAAACTCATTTCATGTTTTTAAATTGTCTTATGTTTTCATTTTAGCTAATTTTGTGTTATACCTTTTGGATTAAACAGTTTTTTTTCTTGGTTTCTTCTTACTGGTTAAACATTTTTCTGGGAAACATTTGTTATGGTTCTAGAAAATTTCCTTATTTACTGTACTGTGGCAAATATGTAATTATTGAATGTTTTATAAACCATGAATAAATGCTAAAATACTTTTATGATGTACACAGCCCACCAGTACAGAGTAAATATACTGTGTCTAAACAACAACAAATGGTATTAGATTATTTGGAATCTTCAAGAATATGTGACATTTGACCTAAACATGGTGCAACATTGCAAAATAATGAAGCATCCTGCTGCTTACCACAAATGGCCAATGTAATGAACAGGAATGCATCCAACATTTTGAAGCATTGCATAAACAATTTGGTCTATTTTTAGGAACATATTCTGGCATGTTACATTGAGGACATATTGGCAATTTGTTGTATTTTTTTGTTGTATTTGGGGAAAACCACTTTAAGCATTCGTTGTTGAGCTATTTCAGTTTCTTTTGTTTGATTGTTCATTGCAAACAGCTGAAAGTCAATAAATTTTGACAAACCCGATTTTCAATGGGGGTTGAATAATTTTGATTACAACTATATATCATTTTAGTAATGAATGATTTAACAGCAATGCACATTGGTACCAGTTTTGCACCCATCTCCCCCATTCTAAACATGACACACAAGTGAGCCAGGAAATGCATTAGACATCAAGTGTATTGTTTATCAGAAAAAAACACTATTGTTAGCAACAAAATAAAATAAATATTGTAAAGAGTCTGAAATAGGAGAATTACAAACACACATACAGTAGTTAATTCCAGGAATACAAGAGTCAAGATACAGGATCATATATGGGCACTTGTAAGAAGCAGACTTTATACTAAATGCAGTGCTTATACAATATAAACATTACATTTACATGTGATTGCAGATTTGTATTGCAAAGTGTGTGGGGTGATTTGTTTTTTGGTGTTACTGCCCTTTAATAGATTTCCTCACTTGTATATCTTTAAAGATATAACAGAAACGACCACAATTATAATAAAATGTTAATATGTCAAAGCTAAGACCAAATCTGGTACCATTATCTGATCAACATTGTTTTCAACAGTAGACAGTTTGTCAAAGAGAGAAGCACACAAGAGTCAACACTGTGTTGGTGTGTAGTATTGGCATTACTGTTCAATGTATGTCATCTCAGTGAATGAAGATTGCATGCCGATATTCCAAAAGCAGGGTTGTCCGGTCCATCTCAAGACTCCAAAGATTTTTTTCTTATTGTAGATATTTCTTGCGTTACAGCTTCAATGTCTGCCCTGACAACCAGTTTTACTAAGACAGTCCACCCAATCCAAGACACAGGTGATACTGCTAGAAGCAATACCTAAACAACCTCAAAGAATTTGTAATGATAGTTAAGTCCAGACTAGATCATAACCTCAACCTGTTATCTTCATAGAACTTTGCTTTATTTCAAATTACCCGAGGAAACAAGTGTTTGTTTTTCCCATTACAAAATATGTAATCAGATGTTAAATTATGCTGCATTATTATCTCCCAGATAAGTTCATTCTCACCTGATATAATATAACATGGGTAAAAATCAAAGTATTTATTGTCATAAGAATATAAAAAGTGTTGCCCGGAGACATGCGGCCATCAGCCACATACCATTTATACATGGAAAAATATATTTTTCAATTAAAGAGACACTCTAAGCACCATACCAGCTCAGAGTATTTGTTATTTATAGTGCGCCAACATATTCTGCAGTGCTGTAAAAAAGAGGGCACGCAGAAAAATAATGAACACATTGATTTAAAAAAAAAAAAAAAAAGTAGATGACCCTGCCCATGATCTTACAGTGGTTATAGTACAAAGAGGCAATAGGTGCTTCCCACATTTTTGTTAAGCCATATTAGAGCAGTTTCTTTTGTTTTTGTGTTTTTTACAGAAAATGGTTGAATTAATCGTAGCCCATCTACTCTTCTACAGATTGGTAATGTAACAGTTACAATATCAATAAATTCTATCCAATCTGGATGGCAATGATTGGCTGAGAGTGGAAGAAAGCAGGCTGTTTAAAGTGTTTGAAAACTTCCTATAATTCACATTCATTTTTAATACATTATTTATAATTAACATTGACTTCTTGTCAATTTTGTTCTTGGGCACATCAGACAGATGAAATCTTGTTTCCCCTCATTCACAGTGGAATGTAGAGATTTTATCAGCTCAACAAATGCCATGTGCAGACTGGCTTTTGGTTGTTTTTTTTGTTTTTGTTTTTAACCTAGTGGAAACTAGAGATTGAAGAAGAATAACAACTGTGATATAATTCTAAATTGTCCCTCTTCACAGTGATAAACAAAGGTTGTCTCCAATTATTTTTTAGGAGACCATGAGTTTTATCAGTAATGCCCTATTGGGCACTACTGACTTGTCCCGGCCACTCCATTGATTAAAAATAAATGAAATTTAACTACAAAAAAACATAAAAAAACCTTTAAATTTACCTGTAATCCAGCACCAGGTCAAGTTCCCTGTACGGATTATTACTCCTCTTTGGATACTACAGTTCTGTCGCATGATGCAATTAAATGCTTCTCAAAGAGAAGTATTTGATTAGACTTTTTCACTGGCTCAGCAGGCATGCAATGCAATGCAGGGAGGCAGGAAAGAGTGTAAAAAGGGAGGAAAGATCAAGGTTTACCTTGCAGGTACGCTGCCTGAAAGCAAGAAGATCATTTCAACTGTTGTGACAACAGATGTAATATTTTGCATAGAATTGATATTAGGCCGGAAAAGAGTGGGACTCGAATCAACAACCCCAATGCTTGACCAGGTTCTACTACTGGTGGGCTAACCAATGCTCTCTTGTTTTCAAACATTTCCTGAGTTTAAAAAGTATTACTCAGCACAATGAAACCTGTTTTACCAATGTTTGAAAGACTAATGGTTCAGAAAACTCTAGAGAATAGAACAAATCTGTTTTACCAGATACACCAGTTGGTAAATTAACCTATTATTGCATTGCCTATCTTCAAATGAGAACTGCTGTAGCTTGGTTGGATAAAAGCATATACATTTTAGTTTTAAAATCAAAAGAAAATCGCATCGACAATTAAGAAATTAAGTCTGTTTCTAGAGTACTACTGAATGAAGCAAAGTTGTATGAAGACAATAGGTTTAATTTCATAGATTCAATAACCCCAGATCATCTAAAATAAAACAATAAAAAGGAACAGCTAAACGTTGTTCCCTCTGTTTACACATTAAAATTTGTTCATGTAGTGGGCAGTTTCCATAAGGCAGTGGTATTTTACCATCCTAACCCTTTGAGGGTCTAATCTAATGACTGCCCATTAATGTGGGCATTATTGCTTAAGTGCTACCCAATGAAAGGGGCAGACAATACACATGCATAATCACGGTCTTTAAAAACAAAAAAAGGTGCAGTTCCACTTTCATGAAGAGAACAACATTTGTAACAAATGTACTCTGAGAGTCTTAATATGGTCCAAACTTCATCATGAGGTTATCCAGAAGGTGCCAGTTTAAACAAACACGTTAGGAGGGATTGAATATATTACAATTTTATCCCTCCATGTCGTAAGGGGGTAGGTAAAATGATTCTCATTGACCAGTCACTTACAAGAATCAGAGTTAAAAAAAAAGTATAATTTTAAAGGCACATTTACACACAGGTTTTAGGGCATTAGCAAACATGTCCTATATATTGAAATGTATTATTTCTTTTTGTTCAGCTTTTCAAGCTTAAGTTGTAATGACTTCGCAAATTAAATATTAATTTGGCAGCTTAATGGACTCTCTCATACATAATATCCAATTTTTCCATCAAAATATTTGGCTCCTCAAATAGTATTTCTTGCACTAGGTCCATACTGCAGTACTAGCTGTTCCAGAAGCCTTTGTAATCTATCCATTGTATAAAGCATTCTGAGACAATTTGCAAAGCATTCTGTGATAGATGCCTTTATGAAGGAATGTCTATGTGGTTACTTGTATGGGCAGAACAGAACTATAGTATTTAAACCCTAAATAATGCATTCAGCCAATTCTTAAGTTTATCTTGTGGTGTTTTATGGAAAGATACTGTAAGAACGATAGAAATATATTCACAAATCAATACATGGGTCCCACAATGCTTAGTATAAAAG